GAAGTCAATGCTCTGCTACCAGAACTATCCGTATCAGATAACACCTGGCACTATTTTCCTGCCCCAAGCCCTCGTTCTCCTGTAACTGCATGCATGCTCTGGCTTCACACCACTTCATTATCCTGCAAAAATACTGCTTCTGTGTGCACTTGCAGCCTACCGCTATGGCGGACTTGGTGTCCTCCTTGGCATTTCATGGTTGACAATGGATTCCCAGAGTTTCTACACTCAAATGAGAGGTCAAAGACCTTTCTGCTTTTAATGGATCGTTTATTCGGAGTAGGTTTTACAGAAAACATTCTGTATTTTCTTCATTGTTCTTTCCCCCAGACTGGAAGAAAAATAATCCTGACTGAAAATGATGTTTTCCTTTCTGCGAGTTGAATGCTTACGAAGATTAATTAGTGACTATCAAAACAGGTGAACTAAAAGTATCAAAACATGACAGCAGATAAAAGCATCTGCCAAGGAATTTATGACTCTTGATTTTGCTCAAAGTATTATTTACACACAGCTGATAACAGATTTTAGAGAAAACAGCTTGCTAAGGAAACAGTGTTGAAACAGACTCATGTCAAAGACCATGACTTGGGAAATCAGCGTATTTCCTTCCCTACCCTGACGCTCTCTGTGGGAGGCCTGGAAGAATACGACATGATCCTAATCCAGGTACAGCAAACAGCCCCAGCAAAGACAGTACAACAGAGGGGTGTTGTGGAAAAACAGATTATTTCTGCACTTCAGATATGTCAGTAGTGGAAGGTAAGCAGAGTTCATTGCTGTCCTCTTACTTCCCCAGAAGAATACCACCAAAGAAAGGGTAGGAGTATAGTGTTTGTGGAGGGAGAGGTAATTGCCTATATTGTTATTGTTGTGTGTGTATTGCAAAAAGTCCACAGGAGCAATTATTGGGATGTACACAAAGAAACAATGGGGCTGATTCACCCTGGTATCCTTCCAGTTTTGCACCACAGGGCCACAGAGTTCTACTAAGGTCAGTGGTGTCAGAAGTAAATTTGCTTACAGTCATAGTAAAATTTTTTGACTGCTTTCTAAGTCCCCCAAACAAAACCCTTCTCAAAATACAGGCTTGCCAAGCACAGCAATGTTTTAGCTTATGAGAAATTCATTCATGGTTACTCAGGTTACACTGTGCTGTACAGACCCAGTGTTCCACAGAAAGTCTCACTGCACGTAACCGCATCAGGAAAGAACAAGTGCATTTATTAAGGAGTTGTTCATTTCAGTACACAATGCAAGGCAAATACTTGCACAACCTTGAAGCCAAGGCCACCCATTAGCTGTTTCGTTCACTCTCTGAAACTCTGTCAGTACAAACATTTGGAGGGTAAAAAGATTCTCTTGCACAGACATCAAGAACAAGAAAATCAAAGAAAATGATAGACAACGAGAAGAGAGGAGAGGTGAGGAGGTTAACAAGAGTGAAAAGGAGAAAGGCAAAGTGAATACAGAAAAGAAACAATGAAGGAAATAAAACCAGGCTGCAGAGAAGAGATAGCTCAAGGTAGAAAAAAGATCCAAAAAGCAACTTTCAAAAACCCCAGAAATCTAATTCTAACAGCTCACTGTTAACAATTAACAGTTAATTAACAATTAACTAACAATTCTAACAACTCACAAGATTGCTGGCAATTTCCTGCACCTTTGAATCCTACTGGTCACCTTATCTTCTTACAAAAACTCAGAAAACTGACATCGTTTTGGGAAAATTAAAAAGGCAAGAAATATTTAACATCTGCCAGAGAGAGATGCCCAGAGAAAGAAAACAGGTCATTAAAGCAGCCCAAATGAACACGGATAAGAGCACATTTGTAATAAAATTTCAACAACAGCGAAGACAAAAGAAAAAGAAATATGTAAAAACCTCTTAAACAGGATTAAAATAAAACATTCTGCCTCTCTTAACCTAGGGGTATTTAGGCAAGGTTGAAGAAACAGAAATCAGCACTTACAATGAAAATATTGAAGTACCTGCAGTTTTCATAAACAAAGTTTAAAACACAGGGATTTACTTACACAGGTAGACAATCCTTTTAAACTCTCGAAAGATATCATCTGATATAAACACACATTACAAGCTTTATATATCTCGCTTCTCACTGTCAGTCTTGCAGTTGATTTGTACAAGATGGAAATTCCTATTCTAGTTAAGATTGGAGTGGGAACCTGTATTTCTTCTTTATGATGAGACCCTGCTTTGTTGCTGTCAGTATCCACAGGAAATAACAAACTGTACTGAAAGACACCAACATAATTAAGTGCCTGGGTAGCATTAAACCCGGAAGCAGCATTAACCCTGTCGTGTAACTTGCTGCTGTAATCATACGTTCTAATGCATCAGCTTTGCACAACCTCAAACAGATTCAGAGATGTACAGCATAGCAAAACGGAACAAGAACACAAGGAAGTTTAAGGGAAACTTGTGCAGACTGAAAGAGTTTCCTTTTCTGAGCCGTAACTGCATGTTCCAGTGAAGAATTTGGCAGTCAGTCAAGAAAAAGTATATTCAGAAGGACCCAGATAGAGAGGTTATGAGACGCCACATGAGGATGCCGATTTCTCCTCGGAGCAGTCAGAAATTTCGCAAAGCTCTGTAAAAAAGTCTGAATGTTTTGACAGGAAAATGCAAAGGTCAAAAGGCAAGTGAAGGAATTAGGGATTTGTACCAAGGTTTGTCCAAGAATCATATGATGATAAATAGGTTTTCTCAACTGTGCTAAAATCAGTCATGACAGATAAGTATATGACAACTAAAGGACAAGAAAAAAAAAAGGTAATTTTTTTCATGAACAGAGGAATTAATAAAATCAGATTTCCTGTGAATTGGTGTCCTATGTCCCCTGTTCCTGCCTTCCCTTCATCTCCAGTAAACCTACATTTCTGCCAGGTCCAGAACGCACCTTGGGAGTCCCCCACCATTTCCCCTCCTGCTTTTCCTTCCAGCATATGTGGGGCAGAGGGAGGAGAGCTGAATCCTCCTGGCTCTCCCTCCCAAAGAGAACTGATGCGGGTATCTTGTCCTTCCCAACTCACATACCTATTTTCATGAAGTTTGCAGAAATCAGCTATCTCTGAGGCTTTCCACCCCACTGTCAAATGTGTCTGATCTAGATCATTAAAAATTAACAGGGGGATTTGATGGAGAGAGACCAACACAACCATTTTCTTTTCTTCAACCAAACTAAGAAAAAATAATTACTGGGGTTATTTTTGGTGCAGAATGCTGACAAAGGATAAGGATAAGGTCAGAAAATATCCAGGATACAAAACAATATTGAAAAATGACAAATTGGTATTATGTTTCCGGCTGAAGTATTATATTCAGCTTCTGCCATTTCAAAAAAAGGGATGAAATAAACAGATTGTATGCAGAGATCAGCAAGTAAATTATAAAAATTGTGGGATTTAGGGTTAAAATTCCTTAACCTGGAGTTCAGTGGAACACGAGTGGGCACGAGACAAGTCCATGGCTATAAAACAGGGCACAGTGTAGAGCAGCAGAAACTGGGCCACGTTTCTTCTTCCTCGTAACCCAATGGTGCTCAGCAAAATTTAGGTTCTCTGCAGTGTATATCAAACACTAACAAATTATGACAGAAAATGCTGTTTAATACAATGAATTAGGTAACTCGGGGAACTTGGAAGCGAAAAAAAGCCAAGCAAAATGGTCTCAGCCACAAGGCGAGCCAGGCCGCACTACCACTATGGGGCCCACCGCGAAGCACCCACCCATTTCTGACAGGATGAGTTGTTCCCTCCGTTCCTCCTCCGTCTCCCGCCGGGGACAGCCTCCCCTCCCCGCCCCT